CCAAATCATCCGTTTCGCAAAATCAGTATATTCCACTTTGTTTTTGCTTCTTAACATTTATCACTCGTACCGACATGTTCAGTGTTTCTGCTCTAATGAAAAATTTAGATACAAGGAAATATAAATATTATATTATATTATATTATGTCGTGAATATAAATGAAAAATACATTAGGCACCGAAAATAGCTTTATACTGGCTTCGACGAGCGCTACGACGCATGGAGGCATAGAAGGAAAAAGACAGGTACAGGGAAATTCAACCAACTCCGAAGCAGGCAACATGGGTTATCATTTTGTTTGGCACCTCAGGTAAGAATCTGCAGAGGGTTGGCGGTTCTCATATTATGCACACTGGATTCCCTACAGCGCCCGCTCTATATGACAAAGCTATGAATTTTTCTTCATTTTATGAAATGAATTTGAGTGCATAGACACGTGCTTGTACGTATGTCTCAAAATTGTAGCTTATTATTTCAAATTTTAATTAATTTACATAATTTAATCAATTTTTGGAGGACTGTTGAGAGCATTGACTTTATCGTCATGTTTCACAAAAAAGTGGCACTTTTTTTAAGAAATTTAATTATTTTGTGAAATATGAAGCATGGGAATACTGGTAGGTTTGTCACGTATTATCATGTACGTATACTCGATATTATTTAATAAATTAAACTAGTGGTGCATGGCATCGTGCCTTAAGGCAAATTGCTCGAACTTTCTGTACCGTAATGAAATATTACTGCCTAAGTTTATTTTGTTGGAAAACAGACTTTAGTTTGAGTTTAGTTTTTATTTAATATTTATTATTACATTATATATTATTACCTTATATGAACTTCTAATGTCCATAAAAATAATTCATATTTTTTCATTATATACCTATATAAAATCTTCAATTCAATAAAAATAATTTATAATTTACCCTGTATTATTGGTTTCCATATAACGCGAAAAACAGGTTTTACTCTACATACATTTCATTCATATTTGATGTGATATGGAGGGATATTTGTTCCTAGAAAGATTTTTATTTTTTAAATATCTTAAATAAAGTTTTGATTGACAAAAAAATTTTAAATACACTTTATGCTTAAAATCAAATACTGCTAAAAGGCAGGTAAAAATTATGAGACGTGGAAGTTCCAAATTCTACTCTATAATAATACAATCTACAAACTTATGCAACAGAATACAAAATATTAGTTTTAAATTAATTAATATTAGTTGAATTTTTGACATTTTCCAAATTCATGGTACTCAATCTTCAATAATGAGACACATCATAAGGAAAAAACCAAAGACTGACTTGTTTAAATATATGTTCCATTCCAGCAATATAATTTCATGTAATATTTACTTGACCTTGCAATTTTGGCATATGATTAAGTGTAGAAACCAAACAAGTTCAACTCGGCTGAATAAGACATCTGGAGAGAGAATCGTGTTATTGAATATAATTAATTCGATATTATTATAGTGATTAGGTAATCGCAGATTATATATATATATATATATATATGTATATATATATATATATGTATTTATATATGTATATATATATATATATATATATATATATATATATGTGTGTGTATATATCAGCAAATATTGATAATTGTATAAATAATGTAGTGAAATAATAAGGATGATTATTGATAGCATTAACAGTACTGACACATCTTTCTTTTCGTTAATATGATATAATGATTGACATACAACTGTTTGGTTCATTTTTTATTTAAATCATACAGGTAATGACAAATTATTATACAAAAACGTGATTATAACGTTGTTGGATGGAGTGGTAGGACCTTGACCTTGAAATCACAAGGTAACAAATTTAAATTCCTGCAGTCACACAGTAGTGTTATTAATTCTCACTTGTAAATGTTCATTAAACTATGCCTTTCCAAGTGAAAATAGCCAATACGCCTGTAGATCTATCTAACATATACGCTCGCCCGTAGGTAAGCGGTTAAGAGCGACGGGACTTGATTCAGTGGTCCCGGGTTCGATACCCACTTCGAAAAGCCTGTTGTCAGTTGGCGTTGACAACGATTTTTACTTGGAAATATAGATAGCAATATGTTTCAAAGTGAAAATAGCCCTTAATTCGGCGTTGCTGCACCAATAAAAAGTCAGCTCTATTGGATAAATTTTAGTAATAAAATCATCAAATAAGGATGGATTAATCATCTTAAAATACAAAGTAAAGAAAAGTTTCAGACCAACAGCTTATAGGACGTAAGGTTCTGATTGCTGTTAAGATACAAGAATAAAATAAAATAATAACTTCATACCTCCAGCCTTATTTAATGGAAGAACGAGGAATGCAACTGTCCATTCTCCTTAGCATACAAGAATGTACTTGCAGACTTCTTCCTAATTTTGTAATAATGACTAACAAATTTCTTTAGGGGGCCAATTATCCTATAAAACGTGAAATGTTATGACAATGCTTTGTCAGGATTCTATCTCCGTATGAATTGCTAGTAAAAACTGTCAAAAAGCTATGTATTTGCTATGCGATCAGACCTTTTGCACATAATATAGACACGAAGTATAAAGTGCAAGTACATAGCGTGTGCATAGTGCAAGTGACAGTTGCATCATTTGAGAGAACGGAACATCCGATTAGAATGTTTAAAAAAAACATTTGATTTGTATTGACAGGGAGACGTGCTGATTAGTTTAGGCAAAGGCAAGTCCAGCCGTTTTGGAGATAAAAGTTCAACAAATGACCGGTTTTGAGAGAACGGAGCATTCCATTAGAATGATTCTAAGAACATTTTGCTTGTGATGACAGTGTGAAGAAATGATTAGTTTTTTGAAAATTTTCAATTTTCAAGCGGTTTAGCGTGTGCGGATACAAATTTTTGTCGACGATTTCGAGACACGGATCAACCGAAATGAATTTATTTATTTTTATTATAATTTTTGAACAGCAGGTCCAGCGTTGTCGGAAATCCAGAAAAATAGTTAAAAAAATGAAATTTGGTGGTCAAAAATTATCATTGGACATATGCATGCATATCAGATAATCAGAATTTTTATAAAAATTTTAATAATATGCACACATTTTGTGTCATTTTCTTTTGGGTTCAGTACTAAAATTTTTAATTTAATATTTACTTATTGAAGTCACGATTGAAAAAATATTCGGTTAGTAGTGACCACGAGACGTGTTCGTGGAAGACATGTCAAGCCGTTATTCGGAAGTATGGAGCGCAAAGGGTGTAAAAATGGCCATGCAGTTTTTTAGAGAACGGATAATCTGATTAAAATAATTTGAAAAACATTTTACTTATGTGGACGATGTGAAAAATGCTTCTAAAAAAATTCGTATTTTTCAAAAAAAAAAATAATTTAAAATAAAAAAAAAACAAATCTAAAAAAAATCAAATTTTCCGAATTTTTCATAATTTTTAGTAATAGTCAAAATTTCAAAATTTTCAAAAAATATCAAAATTTTTAAAAAAATCGACTTTTTTACAAAAATTTCAGGATGTTTCGAAATTTTCAAAAATATCAAAATTTCCGCCCAAATTAATAAGTACTTATAAATTTATAGTATTTTTCATAATTTTCGAAAAGTCAAAATTTTGAAGAAATTAAAAAATATATTTTTTAAAAAAAAAAAAGATTTTTAACAAAAAGTTCAGGATATTTTTCGAGCTTTTCAAAAATATCAAAATTTTCGCCCAAATTAATAAGCACTTACAAATTTACAGTACTTATAATAAATAATTCTTTTGAAAATATTTAAAACAATTATTATTAATTATTGAATAATTATCAATGATTATTGATTATTTTTATTTCTTGAATGTTTAATTATGGTGCGGAAAGTTTCCGCAATTTGACTTAAGGCACGAAGCAGTGCACCACTAGTCAATACTTGTCATAATGCTTGAGAACCCTTAAACGTAAAGATATCCCAGCTGGAGGTTAAAAACTGATCGAGTAAATTTTCGCGCAGCGCGCCGTTTAATTCTCATGGGATATTCCCCGAAACGTGTTGTGTGACGTCGCTAGACGCGCACTCATTGACTGCATCCAGTTATATTATTATTAGGTGTGCGCGTCAGTCCAGTATTCAAACCGGACAGTTAGCCGCCGGACGATCCGATTCTCATTTTGTTATTTGTATTAAACAGTATAATACATTAACGTAAGACTGAACATAATTGCCTTAAGTGAAAGTGTGCCGGAAAAAGAAACATAGTATAACTAGGTGGAATTTTGCATTAAGGCGAGTGTAAATAATTGATTTGATCATCAAGAATTGAGATTTAACAACTTTTCACATTGTGACGATTAAATTTTAAAATTTTGACGCGGTTCATTATTTTGCTAATTTTGAAAAACGACTTGTCCGCTCTTTTGGACAACGCAAATCTTATTGAATTTCATCAAACGGTTTTTAAGTTTTTATAGTCGATACAGCTAATTCTGAAATTTGAATTAAATTTAGTTCACATTCACTTGTTCATACTTACACACATACTCATACTTATTTCAATTTTGGTGAATGAATTCAAACGTCGAGAAAAAATAAAACAATTCGAATGTTCTTCGGATATTTCCTTGGGAAGTTAAGAAGCAATTATATTAATTAGCCAAAATTTATGATCAGTGCAATTTGTTTCAGTATAATAATATATTTATGAATAATATTCAATTATTAAAAATTTAAAAGTTCAAAATATTTACAAAAATTTAAAATTGGATTTTTTTTATTAAGAAACCGTTAGTTCAAATATATCAATATCCGTAAAAGTTGAGATATTATACATCCATACATCTGCACACATATTTCCAAAATTAATTTAAAAACTTATACGTATATATAAATATTATCACCATTGCATACCTACTACTGCATATAAATATACTTTCGTATACATTGACCTCCGATACGTAAACACCCACAATTTATGTATATCATATTGTGTATATAACTAAATTGACTAAAAATTTTCAGATAATTATGTCAAAAACAATTCTGTGTTCATCACTAAATATAAAGTAAAGTTAATTAGATAGTGCAAAGTATAGAAAATAAAAATAATTAAAAAAAACTTTTAACAAAAATGATGAAAAAACAATATGTGTTGAAACGGTCTAGTCATGTTTTTAATAATAGGAACAAAATTTTATTATTATTATTATTATTGTGTTTTGTTGCTATAACGAGCGTGACCGGCAAGCATCTGTTATCATCGAACGGAAAGTGTAAGTAAGCATATAATCTCATATGACAATTGCACAATATTATTCATACACACATACATATTAAATATTTATACATGCATGTGAATATTTATGTATTTATAAATTGAAGATCCGTGTTAAGTAGTGTTAATATGCAAAAATAAATATACCACTACAGAACATATAATGTACTCGTATGTATATATTAGAGCAGGTCGATTTGTATGGGTCAAAAAAGTCGCTTAGGCAAATATGATTTTCGGATACTGGTGATCAAAATAAGATACTTTGCTGAAGAAACTATACCTGTAAAATGAATTCTGATGTCCCGTGCATTGGCCCAAAAATAAGGATTAAACTTTGAAAAATTCTATTTTGACCCATTTAGAGTGCCCCAATCGTATCCAAATGTATGACCGACCCCCACTAACTTTGGAAGGCCGATCCACTCATGCCCGTTGTTTACTTTCTTAGGGTTTTTTCATATTTAACCCTCATCTTTGGGTCAATGTACGGGTCATTAGAATTCATTTTTTAGGTATGGTTTCTTGAGAAAAGTATCTTATTTTGATCCCTAGAATCATATGTGCCTATGTGACCTTTAAATGGACCCGCCCTAATATATATATATATATATATATATATATATATATATATATATTAGAGATGGGCTTATCATATCCGAAGCCGGATCGACTCGGATTTGATTCCGCTTCAGGGAGGAGTTATATCCGCTTAACAACTCCACGACTCCGACAACTTTGAAACCGAAATACTCGACACAAATGCGTTCTATAGTGCGTTGTTTATGCATCTAAGGATTTGTCAAATCCAATTTAATTTTTTAAATGAAATATAAATATTATAAATTTTAATTTGAAATGAAAATTTATGAATAAAATAAAATTAAAAAATATCAATAAAATAATTTTTCTAAAAAATTCATAAATAAATGACGAGTTGTAAAATTTTTCGACCACATGATCGACTCAATGACTCGTAATTTTAACAGTGTTGACCAAAGTAAAAACGCAAAACTTGAAAATCAAATTCAATTTAATTTTTTCTGATGAGAAAATAATTGATTTTTTGGATTAATTTTATATAAAAATAATGTAGTAAACTTTGTGATAAAAGCAAAACATTTATCATAAAATATTTTTACCAAATAATAATACTTCTGCTTTCTAATTTTTTCTTCTGCTATTTTTATTCGAGAATTAATATTATATCGGGTAGTTCGATTAGCATATTATTACTTTTACACAATTATATAATTGTGTAAAGTAAAAATTTAATACTATATATTTTTTGCTGCTTAAATACTACTGACGTCACTGATATATTTTGCACTCTAAAGTGTTGTTATTTCAGGCTATGGAAAAACCAGATTAAATGTATTTTGTTTCGTGTATTTTTCGGTATGTATATTCCTGATTGCCGTCATTCGCGGCCAAAGATTGTCGTAGTTAGAAATATGACCCCATTCAATAAATTATACATTGGAGCTATTCACACTTGAACACAATTTTATTGTTCTGTATCATTGAAGTAATATTTTTGTATTTTCTGGAAAAAACCGTATACCTAAAGGGTCATAAAACTGCCTGTGAGACGAGAAAGCGACAGCTTCCTTCCGAAAGCCAAAACGCAGTAACAGATTTAGTACCAGTTTAGGGAAGTCGGATATGACAAATCCGGTGAGACAACTCCACTCGGTTTCACTCCGAGAGAGGAGTTGTATCTGAGTGATAACTCCGGAGTGAGTTACCCATCTCTAATATACATATATATATATATATATATATATATATATATATATATGAATATTTTTTTAGCAAAATTGTCGAAGCAGTTAAGTTTAGATCATCAGAAACCCAGCGGTGGCGTAATTAGTTCGGACTGCTAGCACAAACTAGTCCCGCGTTTACTGATTCTATTCCCGTTCCCAGTTTTGATGTAAAATTTTCACTTAAGGTTATAGATTTCAAATGTAACCTTAAGTGAAAATTGCCTCTTGTGGATATAGCTTCATATTGTGACGAGTTAAAAAAGGTTTGATAGGCCCTTTCCCGGGTGTTGCAACGACTACCAAATATTATATCTTAGCGTTGCATCCCCATTACGAAAGGGTTACTCCAACTGCTTAACCCGACTTCATTACATTTTTTGTAATATTATATTCAGAGAAAAAAATAGAACGAATACACACAACAATTAAATTATATCTGATTTTAAAATAAAAATAATATTTTTAGTATTTTTTTTAATATTATAAACTTAAGTAGGTTAATCAAATATAAGTTCAATAATTTTAAATAAGTTAAGTTACTTGAAATTTGATAATTTTATATATTTTTTAGAACTAATGTTAACAAATATTAGGTAATAATTATAACCTAATAGATTTGAGAAATTAACCTAAATTATCACATTAAAATTTCATATCCAAACTTTATTAAAAATAATCACTTATATTTTCCACAAATTAAAAATACTACTTAACTTAGAAGTACCGATTTAAAAAGTCACAGATAAACGCAAATACACATAAAAAAATACAATTACAATTACAACATTATTACAATTACAATTACATCACATATTATTCAAATATTATATTCAATAAATTGACCGAAAAACGTAGTCTAACAACAAACAACTATCTTAAATAGTTACATAGAACAGAAGCGTAACTAATGGGAGCGACTCGCTTAGCTTTTAATAAAAATAATTAATAATAATTAAAATTAATTAATAATTAAAAATATTAAAAATTTGTGAGGAGAGTTTTAAGGGGGATCGAATGCGCTTCCATCATTGTGACGAGTTAAAAAAGGGTTGATAGGCCCTTTCTCGGGTGTTGCAACGACTACCAAATATTATATCTTAGCGTTGCATCCCCATTATGAAAGGGTTACTCCAACTCCTTAACCCGACTTCTAGGAACACCCTGTAATTACCTGTAAAAACTAAACCAACTACCTACGCGAATGAAAGAGAATGTACTTTTAGCTTATTTAATTTAACTAATTAAGGTTACAGGTGTGAGGTCATGACAGTACCTACGTACAGTCATGACCTATGCCTAAATTCTAACGTACTGATAATATCTTTATTAATTACTTAACGGACTAATTTAACTGACGGAGTATTGGACTTAAATAACGGAGTATTGGAACGTACTAACTGACATAACGGAGGGAATAGCTACTAAACAATAATGCATCTGACCTTTGCTGGAACAGGTTCTCCTCTCCTGGCACAACACACACACCACTATACGCAAAGCGGGTCCAGCGACTCGCGCCTGGATCCGAGCGACCTCCTCGAAAGATGTTACATTTCTTAATGAACATTTTCAACCCTCAACTTGGACCTTATATTGCAGGAACCTAGTAGAAGTAGGTGGGGGAGTCCATTTGCACTAAAGGTTGTGCAATCCTTTGACGACAATACCAATTGTTGTTACAATATAAAAACATAAAATGTCAAGAAATACTTTGAGTATTAGTCTCAAATGCATTGGACAACTACTCTGTTGCCACCCATTCAAAAAACTATATAATTAAATGTCTTAGTATGACAGATTATATATAATAATATAACAAAAAAAGTTTAGATCCGTGATTTTAACATGCAAATTGTAAATTCAGGTGGCAATTTAAAAATTGATAAGTAATGACTTTAACACTTTCGCTTTGGGTGAAAGCCATATAATAATTTACTATTATTATATCGGTGAAACATTTAACAAATCTCTTGGATATTAACTAATATTAATAGTTAGATTTAAGTAATATAATGTGGCCATACGTCCAGGTTTTGCCGAAACGGTCCGTGATTTCCACCTTGCGGTCCGGGGTTTTCTAGAAGCAATATTTGTTCCACATTCAGGTTTTTTCTCCCGGGCTTGCCCAAATTTTTGAAAAATCTACTTTGAAATTGAATCTTATCATGACTTAACAAAACAATTAAACAAATTACTGAACAAACAATTTCTACCCATCAAATATTTGAAAATTATATATGCGACGACTATGCTTATATGATACTAAACAATATAAAACAATGCAAAATTCAAAGAGTTCAAACAGCCGCTCAATTAATATTTCCGAACTTCTATTTTCTTATTTTCTATTTCTTTTACGTCATCCTCAGTGGACTACAAATTGAAAGAAACAAAATATAAAATAACTAACATAATTTAAATAAACTAAACCAATTTATAAAGTAATATGGTGTACAGACTTGCATGCAAATTGGAATGTTCCTGTTTGTGTATGCATTCATATTCACACGTCCGATCGCCGTGAAAATTTAGGAAACTGTTAAGTAAATCCTGAACAGGTTTTCCGATATTTTGACTGAAACCAAGTGGTAGGAGTTGGACACCCGAAGATCTTTTATTTTTCAAATATATGATGAATGAATATGATTCAAAACACATTTTATGTGTATTGATGAAATGAAGAACTGAATAAATATTTGAACAGGCAAGTCTAGCGGTTTCGGGTTTCAGTAAAAAAATAGTAGAAATGCGTAGGAATGTTAAAAATGATAATTAAAATGTTGAAAATTGAAACTTTTTTTTAAAAAAATATAACCATTATATATTATATAATAGTTTCTACTTTTATATAATTGGGCATAGTACGTTATGAATCATTTTTGGACATTATATTTGACTGCGTTCATTTGAGTTTCATAAATCATGTTGCAACCCGAAATACTTTTTTATACCCGCGCGTCCAATTACTGAATTGACATTCGATTTAGACATATTTTAAGAACTATCAAAAGTTTGCTGATGTTTCATAATGGAATAGGCGCAGATATTAAATAAAATCTAAACACTTTTATTTTAATATTTGTTTATATATTTTTAACTTCCCGTAGGGTGAGTTATAGTAATCGCAAAAAATCGAAAATGAAAATTTGTATATATCTTTACGTTTCAAAGGTTTCTGAACATTTTGGCATACCTTAGAAAAATGGATGTATGTGTCATATATTGTAAT